TTTTTAAATTCAGACAAGCAACACAGGGAACCCCCTGGCAGGACCTGACCCTATTAATACCCATGCAAGCTGCACGCAGAAGCTCTGAGCTTGTATTAACTTTACTTGATCAATAGATTGTATTCAATCTAGAACAGAATGATTGGCTCGCAACAAATCAATAAAGATAGATCTTCTTGGTATGTACATGGATGTCGAATTGATGATAAATGTAACATTCAACCACTCTAGATTGAGGATGTAACCTAAACTTCGAGCCAGGATTCGATCGTTAGCTATCATGATTACTCCTAGTATAGTTTTAACTGTTTTAGGAGTAAACCTATTAAAGTATAAAAAAAAAAACAACAAGTTACCTACTATTCACACTTTCAGGTTAGCCTACTTTTCAGCTCCAATTAGCCAAACTCGTGCTCCGGTTAGCCTCAGAGCACTCAGGCTAGCCTAACTAGCTCCTAATTCTCTTGGCCTACAGGGCACTAGGGTTACCCTACGTTTAACTAAGGTTACTTACGTTAGCTCTCAATAGGGTAACACAAAATAATTATTCTTTATAATTTATAATAACGGATGAGTAAACGCCTATCTGCTTTTACGGGTATATTCTTGATCATTGATTATACTGCAGACTGCAAGCATATTTTCGAGCATAAAACGGCACAGAATTTTTATTTAAAAGAAAAAGGGAGCTTCCTTTAATTAACTAGGCAAACAATCCACAAGGCCTCATTATGAATAGTACAATCGTACAGTGAACTTCCTTGACCTTGGTATATGACGAGAAAAATTTTGTTTAAGAATCAATCCTTTAAAAGATAAGTTGGGGCAGTACACAGAGTAAGGGAAGTATAATTCTTAAGGACAATACACCTTTGCCATAATGGCGGAAAATTGGATGGAGGTCTGAGACTGGTTATGAATAATTTCACCAAAGCGACGCCACCCGGGCAACACCTATGGCGTCTAACGCGAATACAAACTCTTATAATCCCTCGAGCTTTCTAACCGAAAATGACATCCCTGGAGCTTCTTTAGGAGATAGGAATCCTCACAATTGAAGACTGAGGACTTGAGATTCTGGTTGAAGTGCAGAGGTGACACAGCAAAAGGTTTAAATACAAAAGCAGAGCTTGTGAAAAGGTTAGTTTCGAGCACAAGATGCGAACTTCGAGGTGTTTTGATTGCTTGAGAAAATTATTGTCAATTGTGATTCCTTACACTTAAATTGACCTAATTTCTTATACTTTAGGGTCCTTGAATACATCAACAGCGGAAAGGATAAAAACGTCATTGATCCTGATCCCAACAATCTTTATTCTAAACGAAAACAACAACGCTCGGCAAACAACACAAGTTCACACTCCACCGCTAAACGACATGTTCCCGTCAAGTTCCCTGAATCTATGTGGGGCTACTCACTTCAGAAGATGCTACTGTTTACCAGAGCGGAATTAAACTATCATATAACACGTTCTGGTAAAAAAATTGCAAACAAAAGTACAACTAGCGTGCCCACAAGTCTACGAAAAGCAAAGACTTACCTGGAGGATGAATATCTACATT